GGAAGAGATGAAATATGAAACTCTTAAATGCTTTAGTATAAAAAATACATAATTTTAAGTTCCATAAGAATTGTGGCCTTACATCTGAAAAAAAAAAATATGATGTGTAGCTCAAAGACTATTTTATAATACTATTTGTTTCCAGTATTCTGTGCTGATCCCCTTCCACCCACAGGCTAAACAGGCAAGGAGAAAGGTGGATTCTCCGGACCCCACCTTTACAGCAAGGGAATTCAGTACGGATCTCACTGTGCAACTGCCTAGGTTAAGGCTTCTCTTTTTCCTGTATAAAGCAAGGGGAAAGGGACTCAAACCCTTTGGGCACCACCTTCAAATACAAATTTTGCTCCCATGGTACAAGGGATCGCAGAGTGCTGGCTCTGGTCTCTTCAGTGCTGGCACAAAGATGGCCACCTAGGCATTTGCCTTAGTTTGCACCCAACTGTGTGCCTGGCCACTGTGCAGAGCCTGGCAAAACCCGGCCGGGCTCCAGAGGTGCCTGTAAAGCCAGGCCCAGCCGGGCAGCGCTGCTGCGAGCGCACGTAACTTAAATCACATCGTCCTCAGCAATGCCAGACACGTCCTCCGCAGCGCGCTGGTGTCTCCAGAACGTTACTACTCTCCTAGTTTTCTTCTCCGAATGCATCCGGATGCCTAAAGGAGCAGCCTGAAGGGTTGCACACTCATGTCACCATTCCCCAAGCTCCTGACCTGCCCCATCATCCCAAGCAGGGCGATGGTGACACCACAACCATTAAAACCCCCGTAACGACCCAGCCAACCCCCCAGTGCCACCCTGGGAACGCAGGGCCTCGGCTGGGGCCCCGAGCCCCTTCCTGGCACCCCGCGGGAAGCGGCCGCTTCTCCCCACGCCCGAGAGGCGGCAGCGAGCACGGCGCGAGCGCCGCTTTGGAGCCACCCACTCGGCGGCGAGGGAACCTACCGGGCAATAAGGCGAGCTCCGGGTTACACAGCCCGGATAAACGGGGATTTACCCGCGGCCCGGCATGAAAAGCCGGGATCCCGCGGGGGGCGCAGGGGCTGCCCCCGCTCCGCCCCCGCAGGCCCCGGCACCGGCCGCCCCGCAGCGCGCGGCGGCGGCCGCG